CTCCTTTCCCGGGGGTTCGCCTGCCTGGTGGCTCCTGCGCTGCCTTTTAACGCCAACCCCTTCTGGGGGAAGGTGAGGGCCAGGCGCGCCCCAGTGCTGAAGCAGGCAAGGCGGGATGGCTCGTTCCACCAGACCATGCGCGCCTCTCTCCCCCCGCCCCCGCCCCCGCAACTGCAGCCAAGGCCGGCGGGGCAAGGGCGGCGTTCTTGCTGCGCACCGTGGTGGGGGGGGCCGGTGGGCCCCCGGGGGGGGCCCCCCCCCCCCCCCGGCACTTCTCTCTTCCCATTGCTGTGGCTTTAAATCCGCATGGTAAAACGCTGCCCCCCTGTGAAGTCTTTTTTTTTAATTTTATGGCATACTTCCAAACGTTGCAGTATATTTGATCACGCTCTAGTTGAAGGTTTTAATCCTGTGAACCACTCGGGGAGCTTCAGCTCTTTGGCGACATGGAGATGCAGCCCGTTCGGTGGAACAGCCGCCCCTTGCTGAGCCGGGCTGTCAGTTCAGTCCTACCTGGAGAATGTGCCAGCAGATCGAGCTGGGACTTTCCGCAAGCAAAGCTGCAGCTCTGCACGGAGATGCAGCCCTTCCCCACCACCAGGGGGCCGCTGAAGGCGGCACCACATCACGCCCTCCCCGTATTGGCTAGACATGCCCAAGAAATGCGGGTTCGGCAACCCCGCTTCTCCCACAATTCCCAGTTAAAGCATCTCATGCAATGCGCAGCCAGGATAGGCGCTTCGTGTTTCTCGGGCGGCAGCTGGGGGCCGCTGCCTACTGACCCGGGCCTTGATCCCATGTTCTGCCCCCGCATCCTCCAAGCTGGTGCCCTGCAGGTCCTTGGACGGCTGCCCAGGGTTCCCCGTCCGGAGCCGTGCCTGGGCCAGTGGGGAGGAATGTCCGAAAGGCATGCCTGCCGGGGTTGGCGGGAGCCAAGGTCCGTCAGGATTCCAGGGATCCTGGCAAAGCTGGACGCAGGGTTTCATTTTATACCACCATTTGAAACTGTATTGTCTCATCACGGTGCGTTTCATGGTTGCGCATCGCCCAGAGCGCTTTGGCTGCTGGGCAGGAGAGAGAGGAGTAGGGCAACAAACTAAAAGCGGCAAACAGCCCTACACCTGGAGGGCCCCAGGCTGGCGGAGGTGAGCGACACGCAGCAGCAAACAGAAGCCGCAGGTCTCTCCTGCAGATGGGGCAGGGCAGGGCAGCTGGGCCTGGGGACTTTTGGAGGCGTGCCCCGGAGCTCTCGCAGGGGCGCCAGGCAGGGGGCTTTGGGGAGTCCCTCCCCGTTCCTGCGCATGCAGGAAGGCGCTTTTCCCGTGAGGCTGCTCCTTCGGCCGACCACGCGTCCATGGCCTCCCACACGGGTGCTTCTGATGCGCCCCGAACTGAGCTGGGCCCGGGGTCCCTCTCCGCCTGCACTGCCGGCACAGGCCAGCAGCCGCAGCTCTCGAAGGCTTCGGGGCAGAGGTTTTCCCTGGAGATGCTGGGAGTCACACCAGGACGCTCTGCGCACACAGCAAGCAGGCCGACTCTGAGGTTTGGGTGGGCAACAGGGCAGGACGTATCGGCGGCTCCATCAGAGCAACTCCCCCCTGCCTCGGATTATGTTCCAGCTGGTCTCCCAGAGGCAGATGTCCTAATATATAGGGGAGGGGAGGGGAGGGGAAAATGGCTATTTGTGAGAAGCTTAACAAGACCCTCTTGCCGAAGACGGCATGTTCCACACCAAAGGAATGCCCCGCAAGAGCTCCGGATCCACGCTCAGGTGGCTTCCTGGAGCTCTTTCCTGCGTGAGGTGAACGCCACCTTTGTCCCTTCGGTGTGATCGGCAGGGGAGGGTCCGGAAGATGACCTGACTGAGGGGGCTGTGCGGTCTGTCCCACAAAGCAGCTGCAACGAATGAACGAACAACAGCGAGCCTGAGCCTGGCTCTTGTCCTCTGCAGAGACTTTTGGGATTCCACTGCTCGGGTTCTCCAAATAAAAGGAAGTGGAAATAAGAAGCAAACTCTTTAATGCTCAGAAATGGGCAGAGAGCCGTTGTAGAAAGAAGCAACAAGACTGCACTGACAATGAGGTTTCGCCCCCCCTCCCCCTGCGGGTGCCGATCCCATCCCACAGCAGCCCAGTCTGCACCGGTGCCGTGCCGCTTGCGTGACTGTGGCCGAAAGGTCCCTCCGTCCCACGAGCGGTGCGTGGAAGGGCCCGCTCAGCTGCGCCGGCTAGAACCACCAAGGGCAGAGGACCGCGTGGCCTGCCCTGGCAAGACCTTCAAGGGGGGCTTCACCAGGAGGAGCCATGGCTCGGAGATGGGTCCGCCAGCCCGCCTCTCAGCAGAGGACCGCGACCTGTGGCTTGGCCGCCCCTTTGCAGGGCCGCCTGGCAGCGCCCGAGCACCTTAGGCCAAGCGGCTTCCTGGCCCGTTGCGCGAATGTGACGGCTGGGGCTTCGGCAGTCACGGGGAACCGCCAGTCCCAGGGACAGCGTGCCAGAGTGCCCGAGCCACGGCCCTCCCAGTTCCTCCACCTTGGACCATTCCCAGCATCCCCGAAAGACCAGAGGCGGGCAGGCCCTCTGTTGAGGTCACCAAGGGCAAGATGGCACTCAGTGCCACCAGACAAGCCTGGGGCGGGGGGCGGGGGGCTTCTCTCCTCAGGGGGCCCTGGAGGAAAACCCAAGCCAGACCGAGCTCCCTCAGCACAAGGCTCTCCAGGGAGCCGTCGGCCACGCTGGCCAGGAAGAAGGAGCGTAGCTGCCCATGTGCCCGGAGCGCCCTGGCCTGTGGAACGCTGGCTTCCACCAGGGCTGCACAGTGACAGGTGCAGACACCTGCTGGCAAGGTGCTCCGGGACCCGTGGGGAAACTCCTGAGCTGTATGTCCCCAGAGAGACCGGTATGGGAGCAAGGCACACGACTGCGGGCACGACCGGCCGAGTCCCGCGTGACAGAGAGCAGAAGCCCAAGCGGCGTTCTGTTCGGAGGCCTGTCTGAGAGCGCATTCTGCATGGCCCAGGTAGACACCAGAAGGATGCTTCCGCTGCAGCGGCCATGGGCTTGCGGTGACGGCTCCCCGCACGGCTCCACACGCCGGGCGCCTGGGCCAGCTGAGGAGAGCTGCATTCAGCAAGGGCCAGAGAACAGCTCAGCACAGCTCAAGGAGCAACTCAAGCGCCAGCAGAGCTCGGCTCCGTTTGCACTGGACATCACTGGAGGCACACGTGTCCAATTCTTCCATTTACCTTTTCAGCCCCGAGTACACAAAAATCTAATATTGGAGACTCGCGGAAAAGCAAAGGCTAGAATTAAATAAGAAGCTTCAGTGGGGCTCCCGATCGCTCTGCTCTTATTATGGGACCCGCTGCAGCCAAGCCACTGATTGGGGTGGGGGGGATCGGCGGACACGCCTTCCCCTCGTTCTCAAGGCTGGCCCCATGTCAAGCCAGGTAGGACTATGGGGCCCACTCACCCTTGAATCAGAGCTGCACCACTGCCAGGGACTCCCCTGGGGAATCCCAGAAACTGCAAGCCGACAAGGAGGCTAAGAAACAGATTCCAGCACCCACGCTACCTCCCTCCGGAGAAGGGAGGCAGCATGGACAGAGAAGCTGCGCCGGAGAGAGGCTGCGCCGTGGAGCCCACTGCCTTCCACTGGCCTGACCAAACATGCAGAGCAGCAGCAGACACAAGGGGGGGTTGTGGGGAGGCCACGAGGAACAGAGCGGGGCCTTCAGTGCTCCAGGAGTGTCACCCCAAATGAGCTGGAACCGTCCTCCTCCTGAGCAACAACAAAGAAGGCTTCCTTTGGCTAAAACAAGGACGTTTTTTTTCTGGTAACGCAAACCTAGGTACCAGCCACAAGGTTTGGTTCCAGCAACCGAAGCATTACTGGTGCTTCAGTGTGTGAAGCATCTTTTCTGCTGAAGCACCGGCCAATTCGCACCTGCAGCAGGGCTACACTCTGCTTCTGCACATGAATCCCTTTGCCACGAGAGGCGGCAGCCGCCAAGGGCTGCTGTGGCGATGAGGGCCTGCGGGCGCACGGGCGCATCCAGGGGAAACGGTGCCCCCCTGTGCAAGGTGTGCGGGCAACTGCCCCACAGGCTTTCCATGCGTTGCCAGTGGGAAGGCCCCTGGGGTGGCGGAGGCTCTGCCCCTTGCTGCAGCACGGGCAGAAGCGGCACCTGCGGCAGGCGTCCACCTGAATATCCACCAGGTGCCAGGGCAGCCCCGGAAGCCTGTAGCCTGAGCAGCGGTGGGGGCGGGCAGGTGGACTGCTCCCCCAGCGAGGCTGTGCTAGGAAGCCGGAAGCCGCCTGGGGGTCCCTGAGGAAAGCCTTGGTGGGCAGGCCATTCCCAGAAGAACAGTTCCCAGATGGCAACCCACACCCCCGAGCAGGGCGGCATCCTCCACAGGCTACGGTGCAAAGATTTTCGGAGGCAGCATTCCCACAGCTCCCCGCTCATTTGCCCTGCAGAGGGCCACCCCACAGCTCCAGCCAGGGCCGCCAGCGCCACTTCTCCCTCCCCAGCCACTGCAGAGCCACCAGCGCGTGCGAGGTGCGGGGACGGCCCAGCCCGCGAGAGCTGTGGCCCGGGAGCAGGCTGCTGCCCACCTCCAACCCTCCAGCCGAGCGGGGGGGGCCTCCTGAGGGCAAGTGTGGGGCAGGATGCTGCCTCTCTCCGCTTGGGAAAGGCTGGGGGGCCGGCAGTGCCTCCTGCAGCCCCCACCAGCCTTAAGCTGCCGGGGCTTCTGCCAGGTTGATCTGCCCCAGACCCCCTTCGGGCACACCCAGACCCGTGCCAGGGGACATCCGTGCATCCACGACGAGGCTGGAGAACAGAGGGGCCTCCTCGAAGGTGCGGCAGGCAAGACACGCAGCCCACCCGCCTCTCTCTTCCGGAGCGGCTGCCCCCTCGGCACCCCACCTCGGGCTTCAGCTAAGCGGGTTCTCTGGACTGGCTGGAGAGATCAGCGTGTCTTCCCACTGATGGTCTCTGCCAGCCTCTCTTTCGACATCTCAGCCTCCCGTGGAGCTTACAGGCAGGGACAGGTAGGCACCTGGGGGGAACAGGAAGGCCTGGCGCCTTAAAATCCTTGGCAAGCTTGGAGAGCCACACCTGAGCTGGAGGGTTCACTTCTGCTTTTGCTCCGCCCGCTGCAGCCGCCGAGTGAGCTCGTCGATACGGACGTTCTTGAGCTGCAGGAGGTGCTCCAGCCGCCGAACTTTCATCTGCAGAATCTGAAGCGAGGGAAGAGACGGGGGGTGACTTTCCGAGTGGCCCCCAGCCCTTCCCACTGCTCCCTGTGCAAGGACCAGAAGCGCAAGCCATAAAAACAGAGCTTTGGCTGTTGGGCGGCATGGAATGTAAATAACGAAACAGCACCCCTTGGCAGTGAGTTCCGCAGGTGCTCTGTGGCAAGCGGCTTCACTAGACCCGTCCTGACTAACCTGGATTTGAGTAATGGAGACGTTTCGAGCAAGATGGGCATGCAGGAGAAATGGAGGCTGTTCCGCACGGCATTGCCAAGAGGCCCTTGGTCGTGAGACATGTACTTACAGTGGCACCTCGGCTCCCGAACTCAATCCGTTCCAGGACTCTGGTCGTGACCCAAATTGGTCGTGAGCCGAGTCAAATTCCCCCATAAGGGCCAATGTAAATAAGGCTAATCCGTTCTGCAACTATTTTTCCTACTCATGAAAACCTGAAGCAAAGTGATGAAGAGCAACAAAGATCGCAGCCATCTCCCTGCCAGGGGGAGACGGGCACAGGCATGCTCGGGCAGGGAACGCGGGGGCAATCACAGTCATCTCCCCCCCCCCCCCAGCATGACCGTGATCGTGCCTGTGCAGGGAAGGCGGGCGCGCTCACGATCATCACCCGATGCAGAGTTCGCGACCTGCGGCAAAATTTTTATGGAATTTCTGCTCGCGACCCGATTTGGCCTGAGCTGAGGCACCACTGCACTTTGCTTTCAATGATCCGTGGTCCTCTCGAGTGATCCCTGCGCACCAGACGAACATCGGGGAAGTACGGTTCCGCACAGTCTGGCAAAACCGTGGACAAGATGGTCTCGCTCAACGGCCCCTGGTGAACCTGGCCTGCCTGCCCGGCGGGTTAAACAGAGCCACTTTTGCAGTTTGGGTGTGAAGGAAGAGGGAAGGCGCTTCTGGAAATGGCAGCTGAGAAACATTCAGAATGGCGGCGGCAGCGCCTGGCGGTGCCTGAACGGGCGTGCTGGACCTCAGGCCAGCCAGCCAAATCCAGCCGCAAACCCACTCCCTTCCCCCCAGGCTCGGCTTTCCTGCCGTTTCCCCCCGCGCAAGGCTGAAATGCCCCCCAGAGGCTGTGGGGCTGGCGGCCCGAGGATGCGGGGGGCCCTCGGCGGGCTGGCCCTGCTGCCTCCAGCCCCCAAGGGCCTTCTATGCTCCGCTGGTCCAGGGTGGCCCTCAAGAGCTCCTCCAAAGGGGACATCAGTCCTGGGCTGGAAACGGCGGGAGGCCGGGCCCGAAAGCCGAGGGGGGTGGGGGAGAAGTGCCTGCAGCCTGGGGGGCCCTGCCAGCGGCTGCTTCCCCCTTGGGCCTCCCCTTCTGGTCCCTGCTGCTTCCTCCCACCTGCTCCGCCTGCACCTTTGCAGAGGGCAATGGCATGGGCCAGGGCGGTGCAGGGATTCGGGGAGCGGGACTGGGACTCAGGAGGGAGATCGGGGCCTTGGCTCCTGCTCACCACTCAGCCATGGAGCCCGCTGGTGACTTTGGGCCAGTCCCAGACTCTCGGCCCAAGCTACCTCGCAGGGCTGTTGTTAGGATAAGGTTGAGAGAAGGAGCAGGATTATGTAAGCTACCCTGAGTCCCTTGGAAGGAGAAGAGGCGGGACATAAATATAATAGACAGGCAGACCAGCCATGGTGTCATCTGGTGGCGGGGGGCGGGGGGGCTGCGCCGGACTTTCCCACCGCAAGGGCTTGGTGCTGGGGGACGGGAGCGGCACTGCGCAAAAGCACCGCCACGAGGCTCAGGGGAAAGAGACACGGCTGGGGCCCCGAGAAGAAGCCAGCTGTCCTCACCTGGACCGTCTCCTGGCAGGTGAGGAGGGCCTGGTCCCGTTCGGCCAGGTGCAGGCGCAGGCTGGGGTCCGTCTGCAGCGGCACAGGGTAGCCGTGGGCCGCTTTCACCCTCCTAGGGACAGGAAGCGCTTCCGCGTCAGGACGTCTCCCAGGGGGAGGCTCCTCCCTGCCCACGTGCGAGTTATTTCACAGCGACCCGCCGCCATCGCTGCCCCACAAGAGCTTCCAGCCACCTTGCCGGGTTGGATCCAAAGTCCCGGCCTCGCCCACAGCACTGCCTCCAACGCAGGACAGCTTGGGGCTTGAAGGAAGCCCCCAGGTGGGCACAAAGCCCACGGCCCACACCCGCCGCTCGTCCCCAGCAGCTGCCACGCTGAAAGGCAGACCGTGGCCACCGAGGCCCCAGCCGGGTGCCGGCGTTCGTCTCCACGAGCGGTGGGCTCAGAGGGATGTGCAGCGGCTGAAGTGGGGCTGGGTGTCTATGAGTCTGCAGGGGGCTTGCATTTCCAGGTTGTGCACACCTGTGCAGCAGCTGTATGGCTGTATTTAGGGGGCTGCAAGTTCACGCTCGCTCTGACAGACTGGCACAAGTGTGTGTTGGTGCAAATGCGTGCTTGTGCAGGTGGAGCACAACCGCCGACACACCTCAAGAAAATCTGCTTCGGCCAACAAGCAAGCACCGGGGCGGCAGAGACCGGGCAGTCCGTGAACGGCAGGCAGACCGCGATCACGAGATCCACGTGCAGCCACAGCCGCTTTGCCTCGTCCACCCAGGTCCCAACCAGCCCTCCCCAACCTGGAGGCCTCCTGGGAAGGATGGGAGGTGCCATCCAGCAGATCTGGAGGGCGTCAGGTTGGGGAAGGCTGGTTCGGACCTTTTTCAGGGGTTGCCTGTTTCCCTGACCATCCCCTCGTGGCCACGGATTCCCGCTCGGCACCCTCTCGCCTTCCTCCCCGCTGTGTCCTCCCTGGGCAGGGAATGGGGGGATCTTCTGACCCACAGCAACTCGCCGCCTTTCGAAAGGCAAGCCAGCCCTTGGCCTTGGGAACGGCTGCAGTGCTCGGCTCTCCTGCCCTGGCCTAGCCGTGGGTGGGGGGAGGCCCCAACATGGCAGGGTTGCCCCCGCCCGGGAGCAGGGGCCTGGGGGTGCTGCTGCAGCGAGCGGCTCCCCGGGGCCAGGCTGTCAGCCCCGCTAGGTTCCTGGCTGCATTTGCTACCCCGGTTCTCCCAACGGCTTGCCTGCTCAGCCTGGTGTGTCCTCCATGCTGCCCACCCTGACACACTTCAAAGCTCACCTTTCGGAGCCCGGGGAGTCGAGGCCATGGATCCCTGTGTTGCTGGGCTTGGTCTTTGCAGTGTAGTCTGCGTGAGGCAAAGTGGACAGGTGAGGAGCGAGCAGGGCTGGTCCGTGGCCCGCGGCAAGCGCAGAGTCCAGCCAAAGCCTGGGACTCCCCTGCCCACGACACCTGCATTCTCTCCCCCGGGAATCGGCCCACTGCATATTCGCATCCTCCTGTTACAGGAAGCACCCGGGCAGATGTCCCTCCTCTGCACAGGCGGGACAGCCCGGCCTGCTCTCCCGCCCCCGGCTGCTCTTCCGGCTTTGGCACCCCGATCGCCACCTGCCACGGCTGCAGGGCAGAGGCTCCTCCGGGACACAGCCCCTGCCTGCCAAAGGCGTGGCCGGCAGATCCACGGGCAAGGGCATGGCGTGTCGCAGAAGCACAGGGGGGCGCGTGGAGGACCCGCCCGGGGCAGCCAAGCGTGGCGATCTGGGGTCGCTCTTCATTCTCCACGTGAAACTCACCGGTCTCCTCTGGGAGTGGGTTCCTTTAAGGCAGGGTATGTGAAAGAGAAAGAGACCACCCCGCCCCGCCCCGCCACCTGGCTCAGAGGGCTGAGGAACCTCCATCCAGCACCCACTAATCTCCAGTCCTCCAGGCCACAGCATGCGGCTTCACCGGGCCTGCTGGGCTTAGGGGGCACCCCTTTGGCTAGTCCTCACTGCCTCCACTCTGCAGAAGCAAGAGACTGCAGAGCTGGGCGATGGCCCTTTACAAATTGGACAGCTTTCTGGGGGTGGGGAGGAGAGTGACCAGGGGCTGCAGATCTGTCGGCCTCTGGCGGGCCTCTGCGTGTTGCTGAGACAACGGCTGCTCCCGAGCGAGTTCCAGCAAGCACAGACCTCTCCTGCCACGCCCCTTGAGTCAGTGCAGCTGTTCCAGACCAGCTCTCCTGGGAACCTTGAACAGAGCTTGGCAGGCCCATCACAGTGGAAAGGCGGGTGCCCCACCTTCTCTGGACTCTGGCCCTGCCCACTGATGAACAGTCTGGCCATCAAGCCACAAAGATGTCATCCCACGCTTGCTCTGACTGTCCTACCTGTATCCAGGTAGTTGCTCTCTTCCAGCGTTGCGCGCATCCCCATCTCCTGCATCGAAAGTCCAAGAAGAAAACTCGTTCACACATGGGGAAGGTCGGGGCTCCTGCAGTTTTCTCCCTCCAGGAAAGTGCTTCCTCTGCCCACTCTCCTTTCTGGGGAGGCAACATTTCCCAGGAACTCCCCCCCTGCAGTTTCCTCCCCGCTGCCAATGTGATTCTCAGCATATGTGCGCCATCATCAAAAGGCGGCTGGTGGCCGGGAGAGACTGGCAGCTGCTCGGCAAGGCAGGAGAAGTGCCAGAGCAGGGGCAAGAAGCAGGCAGCAAGGGGAACGGGGCCATCCAGGGGCACGAGAAAACATCTGGGGCTTGTGTCAGGCAAAGACCTGAGATGAGCCTGTTCAGCCGCCGGCGACCAAGTGGGCCTTACACCAATCCCAGTGCGATCGGCCTGGAATCTGGGAAGGCCAAAGCCTCTCCTGGGGGCTGAGGTTGGGCGGGGGAGCCCCAGGGTGCTCTTTCTGTTCTGCAGCACAGAGCCTGGCTTAGGATCGCCACATCACCCAGGGTCCACCTTGCCCCTGTGCTGCCAGATTTGTGCAGCTGCATTCTGCAGCACTGGAGCCGCCTGTGTCCGGGCTGGGATGCTCCCCGGGCCAGCAAGTCCCCTGGAAAAGGCCTCCCGACACAGGAGCTTTTCCGGCCAAAACGCTCAGCTGCCATTTGAACAGGACCCCAGATTTACAGAAGCAACATGGCAGCTACGGACATCTTCTGGAGATGGGAGGAAGACAGGGAAGGGCTCTCCGTCCTCAGTCAAGAACCACAGGCTTACAACGGAGAGAAGACCTGGCACAAAAGGAAAGCGGGATGAGGAGAGGAGAGGAGAGGAGAGGAGAGGAGAGGAGAGGAGAGGAGAGGAGAGGAGAGGAGAGGGCAAGCGGTCCCCGGCAGGTCCAGAGCAACGACCCGGCTCCCGGTCTCATCTGCTCTGCTTCAGCTCTCAGGGGGACTCCTGGCCACTGCTGGGTCCAGACACTGGACAGCACGAGCCGCCGAGCAGGTGCGGCCATGCTCTCCTCTTCCGTAAGGAGCTACTGCAGCCCTCCACGGATATCGACACGGGGCTGTGCGCTGGATCACCACTCCAGCCTCACGGCCCTTCTCACTGCAGGCAACGACAAGCCCCGGCTGCCCCCTGCTGTCGCAGATTGCAGCCGGCTCCGGGGCAAGCCGAGGCTTTGCAGGGGAGCCCGCTCATCAGCTCAGCTCTCCTGCCAGCACCACCCAGCCCAAAGCCAAGCATCCACGGCCACCTAATTCAGCAGCGCATTCGCCAGGAAGCCAAGGCAGCTCTGCCTCCCGGGACATTATCCTCGCTTCGTGCAAGCTGCCAGGGCTCCCGCTTCTTGCTGACTCCGTCTGGATCTCACCTGGACATCCGCACCAAGCTCCCGGCTCAGAAGGGCTCCACCAGGTGGCTGTCTCCACCTGCAGCACTGGCAGCGGTGCTTAAAGCTTGGGGCGCAGAAGCCGCCCCCATAAGCCCCGCGCAGGCTGGGCTCGGGAGCATGTGGTGCGCAGCAGCCCCACTGCATCCCTTCTCTGGGGCACAGCATGGGGCTGGTTTTGCCCTGTGCTGACTCCCTGGACACTGCACCCCACTTTCCCTTGATCTTCTCTTTATGTGGAACCTTCTTGGGCACAGGACGTAAAATTAATCAAGGAGTGAGCAAAAGCCCACCGGGCCCCTTGTGTTGCTCACTGGTTACTAGTCCTCATGGCTCAGAAGAAAGCAGTAGTGAGAGCCAGTGTGGTGTAGTGGTTCAGAGCACGGGAGTGGGACTCAGGCGATCCGGGTTCGAGTCCCCACTCAGCCATGGAGCCCACTGGGTGACTTTGGGCCAGTCACAGACTCTCGGCCCAGCCTACCTCACAGGGTTGTTGTTGTGGGGATAAGATGGAGGAGGAGCAATGATGTAAGCTGCCTTGAGCCCTTTGTGGGAAAAAGGCAGGATATAAATCGCAATATAAATAAATAAACAAACCAGTCTGAGTGGCACGGGGGCGCTCTCTTGTGCAGCCCATGGCATGGCCACGTGCGGTGCAACGGTGTGGGTGTCCTCGGTGGGGCACTAGGCCCTCAGCACTGGGGCGGCGCATCCCCGAAGCAAGGTTAGCTCGCCCCTCTTCCCACCACTATGGTGACCAAGGGTGGCAGGTCCAGTTCTCGGGACCTGCAGGGCTGGGCTGGCCAGGATGAAAGCAGGGCAAAGCCTCAACTCTCTGGGTGCCTCGGACTGCAGCTCCCACGAGACCTGGCCAGGGGAGAGGGAAGATGGGCACCGGAGGCCAAAATGCCAGAGGGGTCACAAGCGGCTCGTGCCCGCTGAAGAGCTCTGAAGGTGCCGCTCGCCCACCCTGGCAGCACAGGCGGGAGACGCCCCGGCCCAACCAAGCACTATGAAGGGTGAAAGACCCCCTCCCGGTTCATGGCAGGGAGCAACTGAGCCCCCAAGGAGGGGGCGTGTGTGGTGCAGCCGGTGTGGGTCCTGCTGGAAGAGGGTGGGGATCCTCGGAACAAGGCAGGATGAGCCCAGACGAGTGGCATCTGGCGACCCTAATCCCACGCCCAGCCTTTGCCTGGCATTCTGACAGAGAGAAAAGGAGCAGGGCAGGTTTCCGAGCAGGCAAAGAGCAGCGACTGGAGAGGAGGGAAAGGCGGAGACCTGGGACAGTGCCGTCGGAACGGAGCAAAGGCTGCAGCGGCCGGCAGCGGTGGCTGGGCGGCCCTGGAAAGAAGCAAACGGGAGAAGGGGATGGCACGAAGGCTCCTCGGGAGCTCTGCGGCACCTGCACGGCGGGGGTGCCTTTTCCACAGGAGGGGCCACCGTTCCCATCGCACTTCGCCCTGGAGCAGCTTCTGCAGATGTGCAGGCATGGAGCAGCTCGGCCGCACCTGCGCCGCGCTTCTCCGGTTCATTTGTTTATTTATTTATTTAAAACATTTCTATGCCGCCCTATCGCAATAAGCCTCGGGGCGGCTCGCAACATCAAAAAAAGTCAACCATACATTAAAACCCCCAAAACAAAAAACCCCCCCCCCCCCGTACCATAAAACCTCAATAAAACCTCAGTGCATTCTCGGCTAACAAAACAAAAAAAAACCCTAGTTAAATAAATAAATTAACAATTAAAATAAGTTTTAAATAAAAAGGTCTTAGCCTGGCGCCGAAAAGCAAATAACGACGGCGCCAGGCGGACCTCCCTGGGGAGCGCATTCCATAAATGTTTGCAGAGCGGCATACAGAATGGAGAGCTCCTCTGCCTACAGAGGACCAGATGACAGGGAAGGTGGGTCGAAGTTGTCTTTTCCCTGACATGCGAGTGTTCCATGTGCAGATAAACTCTGTGTGTGTGTGTGTGTGTGTGAGAGAGAGAGAGGGGGGGGTGGAGTATTTAAACCTGTGAGCTGCCACTTGAAGACTGCAGTGGTAAAACCGAGATGCAGGTTGACCACCCCAGGGAAAATTAAGCCACCGTTTGCTGGCACAGCCACTCAAAGTATCCTGCATGAATGTCAGTTCAACAGGTTGCGACTGTGCCTGCCTTTCCTTTTCCTGGTAAAACAGGCACACGGTATCAGCCTTCCCCACTCCGGGGTCTCCCAGGAACCTCAGACTGCAGCTCCAACCCATCCGGCTGGGACTGATGGGAGCCCCGGTCCAAGCCTTTGCGAGGATCCCTGGTCGGGGAAGGCTGGGCTACCTGTGCAGCGGATTGGCTGACGGATCTCCCAGATGGCCTGACATCCTCAGCTCCCCAGAGATTTTGGCAAAATGGCGGCAGCAAGAAACATCTCAGGCTACCAGCAGTCACTCAGATTGTCTGTGCCTGGGCCCAGTTCAAAGTGCCGGCAAAAGCATTCAGCGCCCCAGATGGCCGTGAGGGGCCAGGTTACTGCAGGATCACCTCCTCCCACAGCTCCCTTCCCAGTCTCCTGCAGAGTCCTGGCCGGGAAGTCAGGCAGGGACCGCTGGGAAGAGGCCCTTCCTGCGTTGGTACCAGAGCAAGCTTCCCGGAAATGCTCGCCTGCACCTGCACTGTGCTCCTTCCGGCACCAGGGATGCAACCTTCTTGCTGTCCCAGGAATTCTAGTTTCACCCCGTTTTAAATTCTGTATTGTATTTTAGATCGCCATACTGCTGCCTGGTTTTAATCTAGTTTTCACTTTTTTCTTCTACTGTAGTGTCAACCATTGCAACCTTATACGGCATTTTATACAGAATGCTGTGTATAAATACTTTTAATCTGCCATGACTTCCCCTGACAGCCCCAGCTACCAGTCAGTCTAAAAATCCAGAAAAGGCGTACACAAATACCCTAAGAGCTTTTGGAAAGGAGCATCCCTGGAGGGCTGCAGGCTTCAGCTTCCTCCTCCTCAGTCAGGGCCCGAAAGAGCTGCTTGGAAGTTGCCGCTGTGCCCCCTGCCACCGCGCAGAGAGACGGCAAGCGGGCCATCTTCACGCTGTGGGACAGGGTGTCGTGCCTGGCTTGCACGCGTACCAAGAAGGGTCTCGGGTTGGGTGGCCAGCTCCCCCCGTTTGCGGCTGCGAGCTGCAGTGGGGTGCCCCTCGTGCCAACTGGCAGGGGCGCCTGCAATGCAGCCGAAAACCTTCCACTCCCAGCCGAAGCACCTCAGTGCCAGGTGCTCCGTGGGCAGTTTGGGGCGTCCCCTCTCCCTCACACACCGATGCAAACGTTGCCCCCCTTCCCAGCAGAAGCCCCTTGAGAACGAATGGCTGCTGTGCAAGAGCGCGGGGGGGGGGGTCTTAGGAGGCACTTCCTGGGCTCTGCTCTTGGGCAGGGGCTGACTTTGGCCCCCCACTGCCCACACGGCCAGGCCGGCTTTCGTTCCGGGGCTTCAGGCTGCTGCCGCTCCTCCGTGCACTTTGCTCACCACGCCGTTCCCGTCAGGACGGCCCACGAGGAAGCTTCAGCTGCACCGCAGACCTGCTCTTCAGTGCTCCCCCTTTTCTGTGTCCCCCTCGCCCCCAGCGGACGCAGAATGAGGCAAGAGTATCGAGAAGTGTTCCGATGGCCCTCCTTCCAATATCGATTTTGGAAGAGGAATTTGGCAAACTCTCCCTGCGTGTGCATTCAGTGCGGAATCTGGATTATCTGGCGCATGGCAGCAGATTCTGAACAGCTCTTGTGACAGCATGACGCGACACAGACCTGCCCCCGCAGGCGCAGGGGCCCCTCCTGGGCAGGGAGGGCGGCGCGCAGACTCGGCTGCTGGTGCTTGGCCAGCTGCTCCTGCACAGCCTCAGTTGCCCGGTTCATGAAATGGACCACACGGTGGCCTGCTGAACAGCCAGCTTGAAGGTTCGGCAGAAGAGGGATGCTGCCACCCCTCCTGAATCTCAGTGCAAGTATACACAGCACCGCGAGACTTCCAGTGTTGCTCCAGAAAATGGGGGGGGGGGTCCTCTTTCCCGCACTCCACCTACCTGGTAGGAGTTCGACGACACCTTGGCCTGTTTTTGCTTCTCCTCAATTTTCTGCCGCAGAGGGAGCAGCACCAGCTCCACAACCCCGGGGGTGCACTGCACAATCTTCCGGACAACATCTTCTGGGACGGAGAAGTTCAGCTTGCTCAGCACCTTCCTGCAGGAAGGAGCCCTGTATTAGACACCCCTGCGCCCGCCCAAAGCGCATGAACGCAGCGCACTCCAGGTACTGGGGCGCCGCGGCCAGGGCCTGCCAGGGAAGGGAGGCGGAGAGAGTACCAGGCAGGGTGAGCAGCTAGGAAAGATTTCAAAAAGACTTTTGCAGCAAAACCAGGTGATGCTTACTGGGGAAAGGGGGGGGGGCGCAATGGAATGACTTGGGTTTGCAAGATCACAGAGTGGGAAATAAGCGATGGGGGCCATTTTTATGCATGCATGGGGGGGGGGTGAGCAACATATTTGGCCAGGCGGCCGGTTGGTTGCTTCCTACGACTGCCGAGACCCAGGGGCAGTTGTAGGCGACAGGAGTGTCTATGTGGTTTCCCCCAAATAAGCCCCCGAAGTTTATGTCCTCCCCCACAGTCATCCAAACCGGGACACGATGATGCAGTGTGCCTTCAGCCTTCAGCTTTCCATTTTGGGATCCATTATTATTGACAACTCTGGCTGCAACCCTTCCAAAGCCAGCGAATAATTCTGGGATTCTTTTAAATTCTAAATTCTTTTGAATTTAGCTGTCAGCTCAGAGAGACTGACCTGTTGAGATGTCCCCAGTTGGAGAGCTTCTGTTGAGTAGAACTAGCTGGAGCATAATTGTGCATTTCCACCATTTTTGGAAAATAAAATTTCACCACTTCAGCCACCAAAACTGGGAGGGAAATAAAAGAGAGAAGTGGGGGAAAGGGAGCCGGAGGTGACGCGAAGGATATTGGTGCCCAGAATCCCTTTCTCCACCTCCCCCCACACTGCAACTTCCCTCTGCTCTACCGAGAAGACCTTCAACAGGTTTCTCCAGTGCTGCCTCACCCTTCCTCAATAATAGCGGAACCCACAAAATGTAACTTATTATTCATCACACCCAAAAGAAAATACAGGATTGCATAGCACTGAGTAATACATATGCAGAGACGCACATTCAGAAATCATTAGCATAATTTACATAAAATACAAATACAAATCATGCTAGCATGCGGGGGGGGGGGGGAGACTGCAACCTGCTCCGCTGGCTGTGCTTCACAGCCTTCTTTTATATGTTCGAGCCACTGCTGGCCTGACAGCCCTGCAGGTAGAAGCTGGCTTTGGTCCTCGTGGTCCAGGCCACGCCAGGCCTCGGGCAGAGTTCTGCTGTGGAGCCCGCAGCTCCGCTCGAGAGCCTCTGAGGCAAGAGGCACCGGAAGCCCCCAGGGGAGGGAGGGACTGCTGCTGCTCTGCCACGGCATCGCTGGGCTAGAGGGATGCAGGGCCAGGCGCCGCGCAAGGCAGCTCCGCTGGGCCCTTCTCCGGCCTTCGCGCATCATCCGGCGCATGCACACGTTAGAGGACCCCCCTTCAGCCTCCCAGCCACAAAAGCCACAGGCCTCCCAAGGGCCCAGGTGCTGCTTCAGTGCTTTGAACTCACCCCACTAAGTAAACCTCATCAGAGCGCACTGGGGCTTTCCATCCGTATGCCCCGAATGCCCGTGCTCCCTTTCTAAGTGTCTTGCAAAGCTTACCAACGCTTCTGCAACTTTAGCGCCGGTCCAAGCGTCCTGTCAATGTTCTTCGTCTTTAAAAACCTGTTACTCTAATGGGCTGGCACAGCTACAAACAGTTCCTCCATCAGCCAATTCAGCAGAAGGGTTGGGTTTTCTGGCCTTTTCAACTGCATGGCCAGGATGCATCTGCCCAGTGTCAGTTTCTTCAGGGATTGTGCGCTATTGTTTTCCCATGACTGAAGAATATCACTTTTTAAAACAACACTTCCTGGCTACCATCACAGTCACTGTCAGCATCTGCCCCCGTTGCTTGTGCTGGGCGAAAATCTGTGAGCCTATGCACGCCTCACTGGAAAAACGGCACATGGGCGACACGAAGGCATGCATTATATTTGGGCTTGCAAATCCTGCTAGCCGCCGTGGCCCCGACTGTCCTTGGGATCAACGCTCCCCAATGTGATGGTGTCCTGTCCCTCCGTTCTGCCTCCGCACAGGGAACTCTGGGATTGCTCGTGCCAAGAGCCCATGACTGGCCCAGAGAGACCCAGTGAGCTTCAGGGTCAGGTGAGGACTCAGACCCGGATCTCGCAGGTCCCAGTCCAGTACTCAACCCACCAGCCGCACAGGTTCTCATTACAGGGAAATGTTTCCATAAATATCTCCAATTTAACTTCTGTCTTGGTGATGGGGCTGAATCCATACCCCCCCTTGCTCAGTTGCTAAGCCTGGGAAAGTGTATCTTCTCCCACAAGCTGGGCCCCCACATCCTCCGACCGGTGTGGGAGGCAGAGCAACTGAGCAAGAGGCCCACAGAGGAAGGCTTCATCCCCGAGGGTCTGGGCTTGGCTGCCCCCTCAAATTAGGGCTGGCCCAGGAGGGATGCCTCTGTCCCTTCCTGCCAACACAGTTCCTCCACTTGATTTTTTTTTCTGATTTATATCCTGCCTTTTTCCGACAAAGGGCTCAAGGCAGCTTACATCATTCTCCTCCTCCATCTTATCCCCACAACAACAACCCTGTGAGGTAGGCTGGGCCGAGAGTCTGTGACTGGCCCAGAGTCACCCAGTGGGCTCCATGGCTGAGCAGGGACTCGAACCTGGATCGCCTGAGTCCCAGTCCCATGCTCTTAACCACTGCACCACACTGCCTCTTTTTTTTGCAGGTCCCAACAAAGGAAGGGGCTTTGAGAGAGGAGGCACAGCACTGAGGGGGACTGGAGAATTTGGCAGGTGCTTTCTGAACCAACAGCAGCAGAGGGGGATTTTGCTGCCCCCACTAAATGGCTTCTCTCACGGGCCGGCTTGATGACACGACAGTTCATCAGACAATATGGCAACTCACCAAGGGTCGAGCTGTGGCTTGTCCGGGTGGCTAACAAACCAAGCCAAGCCGCCCTGATAACACCATGGTGCATTCGCATGACATGACAGCTGACTGTGGCTGAGGAGGAGGAGGAAGCTGGGCAAATGTCTTACACATCTCCGTGTTTCACTGAGCTGGTGGCTGGGTACAGGACGCTGTTCCACCTCGTCCATCCCTGCGACTGGCTGCCAAAGGACAGTCTGAATAAACTTGCCTTCCCTTGCCACAGGCTGAGGACACGCCACGGAGAAACTGCTTCCTTCCTTCCTTCCTTCCGTCCTTCCTTCCTTCCTTCCTTCCTTCCTTCCCTGCACATACAGATCTGCTTTCCACGGTCAGGTTGCTGGTCCACTGAAGATGGCCCTGGCCAGCCGCAGCGGCAGCGGCTCCCTGGGATCCCAGGCGGAGGGAGGCCGTTTCTAGGCCTGCGGCCGGAGAACCGCGAGGAGTGGATTAACCCCCAGACCTTCCCCTGCGGTCGGCACATGCCTCCGGCCACATTCGCTCTCCGATATTGTTGACCCAAGAGGGGCAGGACGGAACCACCTCCAGAGCAAATATCGCTTCCAGTGCCCACATGAAACACGCCCAGCTGCTTCCCACATCATGGCAACATCGGGACGCGCACGGCCTCAAGCGCAGAGCACGGCAAGGGCGTGTCCATGTCCAGCTATCTGGTGCCCAGAGTGCTTTCTCTCTCCAAATCTCATAGCTAAACTGGGATCTGAGCTGGGGCCCCAGTCAGCTGCTAGGATCACACGGGCCCTCGGCTTTGCTGTGTCTTTCACACGCAGGGGAGCCACTGCAGAAGGACCTTTTTCTTCCCAGACTATCCGGCCGCGCCGAGCAGCCCGAATTGTTACCCCCCCCCCAACGCGAGGCCCCCAGTGAAATGCAGCAGCATGGGGCTACCGAGCGCCCAAACGGCCACACTTAACTTGTTGGCAGCAAGCGCAGTCTGACTGCTCCAGCCCTCCCGTGTGCAGCTCCCCGGGGGTCGAGTCCCTGGGGGCAGATGCGGCAGCGCCAGGGGAGGCGCGATGGGACCTGCCGCCGCGTGTCGCCTTGGCAACTGCGCAACAGGCAGGCGCCTCCGCGGCCTTTTGCTGCACCGGCTGAATTGCAGCCCGCCACGCAGCTGTTCGAGGCCCCGCCGAAAGGGGGAGCTGCCTCGGGGGCGCGCGTGCCTGGGGCTCCTGACCGCGGCTCGCGCGTGCGCACGGCGCGCTCGCTCGCTCGCTCGCCAGCCCAGCCACTGGCCCCGCAGCCGCAGGTGCGCCGGACGGCCGGGACGGTGCAGAGCATCTGGCGGGCGCCAGGTTGGAGAGCTCGCCCCATCCCGCGCGTCCAGCTGAACCGCAGCGCCCAGGACCCTCCCGAAGCCGCCGCCGCCGCTTGGCCGGCGCCTCGCAGGAAACGGCGCCCGGTCTCTGCCCCGCCGAGCTCCCAGCCTAGCATCTGCCACAGGCGGGCGGGCGGGCGGGGAGGGGGAACGGGGGCCGCCAAGACGGGGGACGAGGCTCCACGTCCGCCCGGGGCGCCCGCCGGAGAGCCGCGCCGCGCCGCGCTTCCCCGCGCCCGCAGACCTCCGTCGCTGAAGTCGCGGGCGATGTTCCGCTTGGGGCGGGAGAGCGGGATGCCGTCCACCCAGCCGTACAGCTCGTTCAGCGCCTCCTCGTCCAGCTCTCCGCGCGCCATCGCGCCGCTGCGGCCCCGTGCAGGCGCTCGTTGCCGGCGGCGGCCATCCCGCGTGCCTCGGCTGCCAGGGCAACGGGCCCGCCGCCGCAGGCGGGGCCGCCCGAGGGCATGCCGGGAGTGGTAGTTCCGGGAGCCCGGCGGCGGCCATCCCGCGTGCCTCGGCTGCCAGGGCAACGGGCGCGCCGCCGCAGGCGGGGCCGCCCGAGGGCATGCCGGGAGCGGTAGTTCCAGGAGCCCGGCGGCGGCGGCCATTTCTCGTGCGGCGGCGGCCATGGCAACGCGGCCCCTTCGCAGGCGGGGCCGCCCGGGGGCATGCCGGGAGCGGGAGTTCCAGGCGGCCTCGGGCGCGGCGTGTCCCGGGCAGCGAGTGCCCGGGGCCGCCGGGAGCCGCAGACGGAGCGGGCAGGAAGGGGAGCCGCCCCGCCCGGTTGCCGAGGGCCTGGGGGAGCAGAGCGCGGCTCGGGCTCGGCCGGGAGCACGATCCGCCGGCGCGCTCCTCGAGGGCCGGTCGCGCGAGCAGCTGCCCGCCGCCGGCGGGGCGCTTTCCGGGCAGCCCGGCGGGGCTCCGTGCCGCTGAACGGGCGGGAGGGTTGGCCAGCAGCGCCGCCTGGCTGGGCGTCCTGCGGAGAACCAATCGAGCGGCCGGATCCCGTGGCTCGTGGTCTGATCGACACGACACGGGAGGAAGAGAGGCGTGGGGAGGGGAGCGGGGTTGGAAGGGGCCATGACGGCCGTCGAGCCCAGCCCCTGCTGCTGAACGGCTGGCGGTTCCCATCTGCCGCAGAACGCCCGGGAGCAGACCGCAGCCTCAGCCTGGAGCCAAGAGTTAGACGAAGCGGGTGTGGGGGGCGCGGGGGGTCCAGTGGGCAGATTGTTCTATAAAAGGCGGGGGGGCACCACCCAGAAGCCCCTCTTGCTCCTCCCCCCCTCAGTCTTCCCTGCAGGTGGTGCTTGGAGGAAGACTCGGATGCAGCCATGGCTGGGTTCGCTACCCCCTGTAGCCCGACGGTGCCATTTGCCTCAAAGGGGATCGGTTTGGGGAGCAGGGGAGCTTATCCGCTAATGACGTTATGCAAACAATTCGTCCCCTGTTACTGCTGCAGAACCACATTCCATTCCCAGCCTTCCTGCTCCATGCTTCCTATGGACTAGTCAATGCTATTCTTTGCATCCGGGGTGTTTCTGTTTGAACAGTGAGGTTTGGGGGAAAAAACCGGTGTGCAGGATAGCCTCCTCCGCCCATGTGTACCTGAGGCCATCTCCAAGGGCCCCTCTGCAGGACCTCGGGCCCCTTCCAAAGGAAGTGAGGCGGGCCTTTCCAGGTGTGGAATCACCCCAGGTGTGGGATCCCCAAAGAAGTGTGTCCGGCCCCTACTTTGTGTTCCTTTTGGTGCTAGATAAAGTCCTTTTTATTCTCCAAGCATTTTAACAGTTTAATATTTTTTTACTTCATTTTTTAGTATTTCCTTTTACTCTGTACTGCCGCTATACTTCTATGCTGACTCAGTTGCAATTGCTATTGCAATGTGTTGTTTTTCTCTTGCGTGTTTTTATTTTTTTCCTTACCTTTGTTAACTGCCCAGAGAGCCTGGGCCATTGGACGGTATAAAATGAAGTAAATCAGTAAAGCTCCCCATTTACAGAATAGTTTATTCATGTGCTCAGGAATGCAAGGTGCGTTCCTCTTCCCACTGCCTCGGGCAAGATGGAGCCCCTCGAGTGATGAGGCCTGCAGGCCCAGGTTTTTGCAACATGCCAGTGAGCAAGACACGCCTGGCCAAAATTTCCTAACTGAGCACTTACAATTCTCCTCAGTGACGCCAGATGGCAGGAGAGATTTGCTGGGTGGGACGGGAAGAGAGGAGCATCCTTGCAAGTCCAGTCTTGGGGATCTGTTTTTCCAGGGCTTCTGTCTGGCTAACAGCCATGCCCGGAGCATGGAGGAGTTCAGTTTTCCCAGGGTGGGGAGCGTGTGGTCCTACAGGGACCCTTAGCCAGCCCGGCCCCTGCATAAGACCTCCCAGCCAGGAAGCGACCACACCTCTTGACTTCCAAAAAGGGCTCCCACTGCTGAATTCTGACCAGGGCTGGATGCCTCCTCCTCTGCACACGGAGAATTTTTCTGTTTCTCTCCCTATCTCAAAGTTGGGGCAGGAGAAGTGCGAGTTGGCGATCATCAGTGGAACAGCAGCAACAGATTTGGGACAGACAAAAAGAGGGATCCCTCAACATGGCACAGTCCTGGGGCATTCCTTGGGGATTCCTCCGACTGCCAAGGCAGAGGAATTATGGGGTTGAACAGGAGCTCGGAGTTTCAGGTGACTCTGCAGAGGAAGAGGAGAAGGTGCGCTCGGGACTGAGAGAAAAAGGGACTTTTTTGGTTCAAGCCCTATTCCTGTCTGACTGGTTGTAGGGGATAGTGGCGCTCCTGCAGTGTCATTGTCCAGGTGAAGATAGTCTGGTGAGATAGTCAGATCAGCCTTCCCCAACGTGGAGTGCTGCAGATGTGTTGGATTGCAGCTCCCATCATCCCCAGCTAGCACGGCCATGAGGGAGCCTGGGCATTGCACTCCAAGGCATCTGGAGGGCACCAGGTTGGGGAAGGCTGCATGGGAAAGTTAAAAAGGAGGGCTTCTTTTATCTCTACCCACAACCAAAAGTGCCTTGAGAGTCAGAGAACAGCAACACCAATGCAGTTCCTTCGAGGTTCATTTATGACCACGCGACAGATTTAAAAGTACATTCCTGTGCATGTGGAGGCAGGAGGCGTCGTGGGGCTTTTTTCTGCCTAAAGACACATCAACTTGCACCTAAATCCATTTCCAAACTGTACAGCCCCCAAAATCTCTAACTTAGAAGCTCTTCCAAAGCTGTTCCTTTGAAAGGGATACAGATCTTCCATGCAAAACACCCAGGCCACACAAAGTCAAACAAACCAACCAACCCACTACCATTCTCTGACTGGGGAGCTTCAGTTCACATCTGTAATGCAAACAGGACGTCTGTCCCTGTGATATTTTGCCCTAAGCACCGGGCCTGGGGCACAGCTGCAAACGAAAAGGTGCCGGGACAAGCAGGACTCTCTTCTCCTTGTGCGTCTCTTGCAGACCATGCTTGCCAGAGGAGCTTCACAGGGAGCTAATGAAAAGCTTCCCTTGAAATGGCATCCAAATATAGCACAGAAACTCCCCGATTGCAAAAGACGTTGTGGCTAACTGTGCGTCCTGGAATTTGGTTGTGCACAAGGGAGTCGGCCTTCAGCTGAGAACATGAGGACTTCAGAAGAACCCTGGGGGTAGGAGCAGCGGCCCACCCAGTCCGGCACTCTCGTCCGTCACACGTGGGACAAGCAGCTGCCACAGGATCCCACAAGCGAGAACCTCGTGCTCAGGTTCTCCAGCGGCTGGAGTACCCTGGCAGACGGCCTCTGACCCTGGAGGCAGCTCATGGTCATGAGGGCTAGTAGCCACGGAGAGTTTCCTCCTTCCTGAGCTTGTCTAGTCCTCTTTCAGCACTGTCCAACTTGGTGGCCACCACGACTTTCTGTGGCAGGGAATTCTGTGGGTCCACCATGCACTGGGTTCTTCTCATCTGTCCTGCATCCCCTTCCTATCCAGGAGCTTCTAATATCGTGGGGGAAGAAGGAACATGCCTCTCTGCCCACCAGGCATAATTTTGTTGTTGGTGCTCAACTTGCCGTCTCCGCACCCATTCCTTCTGCCACGGCCCCATTTGAGAAGACTATGCTGATTAGAATGTGACAGCCAATACAGAAGTGGGGCTTCGGGGTTTTATGGCCTCCGTGATTCATGGCATAGCTTTTCCTGCCATGTTAACATCTGTCCTGCATCCACAACCTAAGCAGGTCCAGGCTGGTCTTAGCCGGGGAAAACTCCAAGCAGGCTCTGCGCTCCTTGGAGGATGGGGCAACCCTACGAACCAAACAGAACCAACTGGGGAGGATGATAAACGGAGAACACTACAAAGCCAGCTTCCCTGCTCTGCCCAGGCTCTTTCTGTTAGAAACAGGACGTGGAATGAACATCTGTCTTCTGAACATTTGGTGGATCTTTTCCTAAGACAGCATCCCAGAACTAGCCCTAGATACGGCCAAGAATGATCAGTGGGATCCATTTGCCACCACCTTAAATTTCCTCACCAGAAACCAGCAGCCAAGGGGTCTGTCCAGGCGGGGTCTGGGCGGCAGGGAACATCTGGGTCACAGCTGGGTTTTCCCTGCCAGCACCCCTGTGCTTGCAGGGTGGGTGTTGACCAGGCCACCCCTGGGATTAGGCTTGCTGCAGCGGAATGCCCTCTCCTCAGGAGGTAGTTCTTGCTAAGGATTGCATTTGCTCAATATTGGAAAAGTGAGGCGCTACCCACCGATGAATTGATTGTAAGAAAGATTTTGGACTGTGCAGAAATGGATAGGCTGACTCTATCACTGAAGGAGAAAGAAGACACTGACTTCTATCAAACTTGGAATGTTTTCTATAATTGGCTGGAGAAACGGGACTTGGTGTAAATTTAGAGATGTTTTCAAGTTATTATAAACTGATTTAAATTTGACTATAGAATATTAAAAAATATGTAATAGGGGGTTGATCCAGTAAATCCAATGTATGTGATGATTGATGTTTTTAGTATTAGTTTAAAATTTTAATAAAACTTAAAAAAAGGTATTTCTTGCTGTCTGTAATCTCATCTTCTGCTGAGAAGAGGGCGAGAGGGTGTGCAGTTTGGCATCATGTCCAAAAAAAAAAAAAGTCTTGTGGTGGTTGGGGCAGGGAAGGCAGGTTTGTTGGGGGGCTGGGGCAGGGGGTGCTACATATTTACATGTTTGTAAAATTTTGAGTTGTCCCAAAGGAGGCTGACAGGGGGAACTTGCAAGAACTGAAACGCATGGAAATCTTTTAAAGATTGACCAAACTTTAGAACAATTTAAAATTTTTAAAACAACTTGAAACTTCAAAAAAGATTCAAAGTATTTAAAGCAGCAC